ACCTTTAAAGAATTGAAAATAAATAAGTAAAAATAGATAAAATCTCTACAAAACCTACAATAATATCGACGGTGGTGGCAATGACTCTCCCACCTACCAATGGGTCGTGTTGGGTGTGTTAAGTTAGGTGTTGAGGTTGGGATTGGGATTGGGTGGTTGGGTGCATCGAAGAAGATGAATATTTTTGTCAATTCACAGATTTTTGGATGAAAATTGTTAAAAGTCTTTCTGGTGCATGTTAATTAAAGTTTTTGCTATTTGCTATAAATGTTTTAAAGGTTTGGAACTTTCAATGCAAATGGCCATTTTTTCAGTTAATAAAGGTTGAAGACCATTTTACCTTTTATAAAATTGATCAAATTATAGTCAAACGCTTTTGGTAAACTAGAGGATTTTGGACGAAAACCATCTAGAGATCCTTCTATTGCACAAGTTGGAAAGGTTTGGGTCCAACATTATCACAAATCAAAGGTTTTGATAAAACTTACAAAACTTTGAAAGGTTTTGGGATCACGACTACAATTTCCCATATTTTAATATACCACAATTTCACTGTTGAGTTAATTGAGACCCCAAACGATAAGTACATAGTGCAGTGAAAATCCCAAACGTTTTTAAATATGGCAGAAAAGTCCCATACTTATTAAACTGCTCACAGAAAACACCATATCACTTTAACAACAGTTTCATTACAGATACACCTTAAAATGTGTATATATTGCTGTCATACATAAAATTATGTAATCCAATATATCACATAAAAAATAAATAGTAGACTCAAAATGAAAAGTATTTTAACGCTTATATATAGCGATACTACAATTCCCAAAACATGAAATGCTAGAATTATAGATTCAAAAACATCAATTACATTCCAAGTTCATATTTCACGTACACAAGTTCAATTTCCAACTACATCAAGACTATATGCTTTGGACTTCTTCTTTTTGGGTTGTTTCCTATTGAGGTGTCTGTACATCTTTTTCCCTTCTCCTTATGTGTCTGTGGTGCTTCAAGAGGCTGCATCTATGCAGTGCATATTCTCTTATTGTGTCCAACTTCTTCATACCTCTTACATATCATTTTCATGCATATTCTTGTCATTTCAACTCCAGTTGGTGGTTCAGTCTGAGATCTTTTCCTTAACTTTTTAGGTCTACATGCCTACTTCTTCTTCACTGATGGCTTTAATGGATTTTTCCCCAATTCAGGCCAAAGTTCAGGCCTTGACATTAGATGAATCACAGGACTGTATGCTCTCATATTTGTCTCCTTCTTGTAATATTCATCTACAAATTCATCTATATCTATTCTCTTTGATAACATACTAAAAATGGCATGTGCACAAGGAATTCCACTCAGTTGTCATTTCTTACATGCACGTTCTTTCTTCACAATATCCACACTCCACATCAAACCATCAGTGTTGCGAACTTCAAATTTTTGATTATATGTGTATCTGCCCTCATGAACTTGACATCTAATTTAGTATTCTCAATTATCCCTACAATTTTTTGACCATATGCATGATCCCACCTTTGAACCTCTTTGCATTTATCCATGTCATTTGGTGATGCATAATCTTATCTAGATGTGTCAAGACGGAAGAGCCGGCCGACCCGTAAAAACCGGTCCGGATCGACCCGGGACCACGGGCCGACCCATGACCCGAGCGGGCAGTTCATAGGTCAAGATGGTGTAACCCGTGGGCTTCGCGGGTTGCACCTTCACGGGCCCCGGTTAACCCGCTGATCCGTGAAAATTTTTTGAAAAAAAAAGGGAAAGAGAGCAAGATAAAATTATTAATGATGTTATTGAAGACTTTAAAATTTTTGCAGTTCTTGAAAATTGATTAGAAAATAAATATTA